CCAAAGTTTGAAATCGAAGCATTATTTCGACTAGTTATGCTGTACACAGACACAAAAAAAAAACAYATCATTGTAAAATCAATACATTCATCATTTCGTTCAGAATCTAAAATTTTTACTTTTCAATAATCAATAATTTCTGGAAAAAAATAACTAAMGATTCATCTTCTTTTCATACTAAATAATTAGTTAAAAATTAATAACAACTTTGCTCTAACACAATAGCTTGGGTTTCAAGGGGTAGTAGGTAAATTCTTTATTTATAATTATGTGTAATTTAAGTATGAATATCTCTCTTTATCTACAATATTCAATCAAATGATTAGCTTACAGCAATTTCAATGTTTCTCTATCACTTACCTTCCTCTTCTGTTTTCATATGAGTTACATCCTTCTATTATCTGACTTATGTATTGCAATCTAGRCATTTCTCAATGATTTTTTACATCCATTATTCCTTTAAATATTAGTAATAGCAGCCCATCGAACCTTAAAATACYTATGACTTACTAATATTATTCACTTCACCTTTAACTCTTTCATATTGATATTATTAAAAAATAAAAATTAGAGCATGAATCAATTAACTTTATTTATTAGGTCTTCCTGTAACATTCTGATTAAACTATTCAAAAATACTCTTAATTTTTCAACAACTAGCCTAAATTATAAATTAATTATTAACTAATTAAGAGGATGCTACACCCGCATGTGTTGTCTCCATCTTACAAGTGCGTAACATTGCAAAAACTGTTTCGCGCGTAAAAGAACCGAGAAAGCTACAGTTATAACTAAGAAACGAAATTTTCATCACATAAAAAGGAGAATATTTTCTGTGCAATATCGTTTTTATTTTATCGATATCAGAACTACAAAAAAAGTTATTCATGCTTAAAAAAACACAAAATTAATGTATTATAAAACAATATAAAGAATTTTTTTTGTATAAGTGATATTGCACAGACAAAATTCTCCTTTTTATGTGGTGAAAATTTCGTTTCTTAGTTATAACTGTAACTTTCTCGGTTCTTTCCTGCRMGAAACAGTTTTTGCAATGTTACGCACTTGTAAGACGGAAACAACACATGCGGGTGTAGCATGCTCTTAACAATGAGCCAATAAATTAAAGTAGGTAACTTAACAAAATTTTATCACTATAATGTGGAGTATAACTTTAAATTGTAGAAAGTAAAATACAAGARCCAATACAAAATATATTAGAACATTTTAGAGTATAAACAATTATATTATTCAATTTGTACCATAATGTTTTTTATTATATTTATTACATTTGTTTATAAACTCTGTTATATAGTCTGAACAAAGTTCAACTAACAAACGAATACAAATATTCAACAGTTCATAAATCATGAAAAACATTTATATATATTGTACTATTGTAGTATCAGATTTCTATATATTATATTATGATACACYAACATTTATAATACAATGTAATCCCATAAGTAGAAATTTAGCATAATTCATTTCATGAGCAACAGTTAACACCATTAAAAATTACCCTATAAGTTTTAAAAAAATATATAGATCAAATGGCTAAATAAATTATTACAAAAATAAGCGTTAAGTTATTCAAAATAATTCAAAATATTGAAAATAGATTACAATATTAAATACTAACAAAATTTAGTTTTGTATTTAAATTTATTATAAAACCTTATAAACACATTATAAATTTAATAAAATATAGTATTGTCTACTTAAATAATAAATCATCACATTAAAAGATAATATACATAACATTCATTTTTTATCACAGATCGTTTAAATTAATGTAGTCATTCATTGAATACAACCACCTATAAAGCCATGGATATTTGTCGGAATCTACATTTATGCCATTAATAGCATCAAATATTTCATAATCATAATCTATTGGTTCATCTCTGAAAAAAAAAATTCAATTATGAAACATTTATCATTTATTCAACCACTAAAATTAATAATAAT